TTACTAATCACACTCTGCCAGCAGCTTTCAGCTCACAGCTATAATATTTCTAAAATTTCCTTCCCTTTATAATTTAGTCACTGCTTGAAATTTATAATGGTAAACTAGTCCTATGCCATCAACTTGTCAAAGCCTGAATGTGGTATGTAATCTCTGACAAAGACCCAAAATAAGGGGCACAAAAAACCTCAAAAAACTGGAAACTTAAAATGTGAGATTCATTCCTGTAGTATAAATAAAGTTTTCTGTAAGCTTATTTTCATATTTTTTTCTTATGTAAATAAATCTCTACAATAAAAGTGAAGCGAGAATGTGTGTTTGGAATGTAGGTAACTTTGGGAAATGAGCGATGTCCCCTGAAACAAGAGAATATTAGAGAGGTATTCTTAGCCCTGTTAGGATTTTCCCCAACTGACATGATCATGGTTTTGTTAATGTGGTTATTAGACATATTATAGAGAGGTTGTCAAGTACCAGAATTAGATTTTGTGAAAAACCTCAAATTTTTACGGAAGTTAATGTCAAGAGAAAAGTTTTCCCATTATAGTTTTGAAATGTTTCAATAGAAACAATTCAATATTTAATGAAAAAAGTAGAAAAAGAAGATGGAAAATATTACAGAAGTTTGCAAGAAATAAGAATAACAGCAAAAGAAAATGATGATCCACTACTTCACAGAGAGAGGGGGCAAAAATAGCTGTTTGTGAGAAGGTTTGAAAGAGTTAATTACTTGATTCAATCATCTTAAAATATGATTAATGGAATAAAAGTTCAAGACTGATAGGAACAGGTTAAAAATGAGGAAGGAACTGCACATAGTATACCTAGATAGCTTGAATGTGTGGTACCTGTTTTTCAAAAGGGTAAAAGAAGAACTTTAGAGAATTACTCAGCAGTAAATATAACTTAAATGCCTGTTAAATAGATTGATATATATATTTTCATTCAAATGACTATGGTTCCTAGGCATCTGTGACTTACCCAGGGTACCGTCTAGACTGATGAACAGCTGTGTCCTCTCAGTTCTCCAGTCTGGGGTGCCTTTTACTCTGTTTTGCTGTGAGAGTTACCACTTCTGGTCTGCTCTCCCGCAGCTTCCAGTATATAAGTTACTCCCAGTTATCGTATATGAGTGCTGCTGCCATCCACTCTTGAATTACACTGCAGAGCTACACCAGCAAATTCCCAGTCTCAAAGTTTCCCCAGAAATGCACGTCTTGTACTGCCCAGATCTCTGCTGGACAGTAAAAACTCATATCAAGTCCGTCATTTTATTAATAGAAAATGATATGCACAAATGCCGTTATTCCAAATGGAGTTTCCCAAACACTTCAGTCCAAACACACTGGTTTAGATAAAACAATAAAACAAGTTTATTAACTACTGAAAGATAGATTTTCAGTGAATATAATGAATGAGAATAGGTTACAAGAAAAATAAAAGTAAAACACAACTAATGCCTGATGTAACAACATAGACTGAATTCAAAGTAAAGGTAACACCATAGAGAAGAATCTTATAACTTTACATACAATGTTGCCACACATATTTTACTAGGACAATAATGATTAGACAATTGTGAGTTTTCAGATGATACCTCACAAGATATAATTTGTATGAAATGTATCATAATTAAGACTGCAATTATTTCATGGAGATCACGGAAGTCACAATGGGGCGTCAGAAGTAGAGATTTAGTCAGGGGTATTTTTGGTAAAAGTCATGGACAGGTCACGGGCTGTGAATGTTTTCTTATTGCCTGTGACAAAATCTGATCCTTAATCATTATCCTGTGAAAGGGGTGAACATAGGGGTACAGACCATCACTATAGCATTATAGTACTAAAAATAAAAAAATATTTTTAAGAAGCTAGGCAAAATAGGATAAAGAATAAACAGTAATTAATCAAAAAGAAATCATTCCACAGTACAATTGTCAGTATTAAAATGTTTACATTTACTGCTTGCAATTAATGTTGTTGAATTATTCACAGTGTTAATTACTTGCAAGTACTGAGTGTCAGCATTTTAATGTAACTTTTTTTTATGAGACAGCAAGCTTAGTAGCTAAAGGAAATGGTTGACATATCTTGACATTAGTAAGACGTTTAATACAGTTTATGAGAATATCATGTGGAACTAAAGAAATGTACATTAGATATAATTATTATAAAATAGATACACAAATTGCTAAAATAATAAGATGGAAATTACCACCCTTGGTTCACTGTCAAGTCAGGAAGTGATGAGTGGTGTCCTATAATAGTCTATTTTGGTTCTTAAGCTCTTCAGTATATTAATGGATTGGAGGATTAGGTGAGACCTGCATGTGTCCTCTACTTCTATGAATAAAATGAAAAGTTAACAGTAGTTCAGTGCAGGGGAAGCAGGATATCATGTCCCTCACTTCCCAGTTTTATACAAGCCCTGTAGAAATAAAGTATAAACTTGCTAAACTGGAGAAAAGGGCTAAAATCTATAAAATGAGTTTTAAAAAACCCAACTATATAATGATTCCTTTAGGAAAATCAAATAACTGTATAAATGGAGAATACTAGGCAGGTAAGGACCATAGAGAGAGAGATGGGAGTTATAATGGAAGATTGAATATAAGTCAACAGGGTAACACTCTAACAACATAAGGCAAATGATACGTTGGTTTGTATTAAGGGAATATTATGTGTAAAACATGCATGGTAATTATTCTGCTCCACTTGGCAGTGATTAAGTCTCTGTTGGAATACTGTTCAGTTTAGAGTATCACATTTATACAAAGACAAAGTGAAACTGGAGAGAATTAAGAAGTGAGCATCTCATGAAAATTCTGAAAAAGAAAGCCATTTTTCTGAAGAAAGCTTGAAGTTGTTAAAAAGCATATATAAGTGGAAATAAAATTAAGATTTGATTTAATAATTATCCCTAAATATGGAAAAAGAGAGGGACTAATTCTTTTTAGTCAGTGAGGACAGGACAAGTAGTCAGAGATGTTTCATCTTGGTGGTATGCTGTGCAAGGAATCAAATCATCTCCAGGTATCCCGAGGGAATCTTCTGTAATGCCTTCCTGTCCTGTGGAGGTTTCATGTTAGTTACAGCTTCAACCTTACTGTCATTTGGCCTGATTCCTTTGATGAGAATATGCATGCCATGCAGTGCTTAATTTGTAATGAAAGAGGAGCTCAAACAATTAGGTACCAGGGCTCAACCAATTTTTTTACAATCATAACGAATGCAGCAAGTCCAGAGGTGCCAGGGCAATGAACTGCTAAGCTTAGAGGTGCTGGGGCTAAGCCCTGGCACAAATTAAGCATTGATCCCAAGTATTTGATTTCTTTTACCATGAACTAAATTTTATCTGGGTTGACCTTGATATTCTCAGTTTGAGCCCTTGCCATCACTATATTCAGTATCTGATCATGTTCTGCCTGAGTTGAAGGCACTATTATAACGTCATCTGCTATTATATGGACACGTGCAATATCAGCAAATGTTTTATTTTTCTTTTGTTGAAACACTTCACTGAGAACATAAGAACAGCCATACTAAGTCAGACCAATGGTTCATCTAACCGAGTATCCTGTCTTCAGACTGACCAGTGCCCGATGCTTCAGAGGGAATGAACAGTACAGGGCAAATTTCAAGTGATCCACTGCAAGTTGTCCACTCCTAGCTTCTGGCATTTGGAGGTTTAGGGATACCCAAAGCATTTGGTTCTAGATTAGATTATAGAATATCAGGGTTGGCAGGGACCTCAGGAGGTCATCTAGTCCAACACCCTGCTCAAAGCAGGACCAATCCCGAATTTTTTGCCCCAGATCCCTAAATGGCCCCCTCCAGGATTGAACTCATAACCACCCTGGGTTTAGCAGGCCAGTGCTCAAACCACTGAGCTATCCCTCCCCCTTTTTAAAATGCCAGCTCTTCCAGCAGCATTAATATCATCTGGGAGGGGTGGAAGCACACCCCCTTAGAATCTCAGGGTTGGAGGGGACCTCAGGAGGTCATCTAGTCCAACCCCCTGCTCAAAGCAGGGCCAATCCCCAATTTTTGCCCCAGATCCCTAAATGGGCCCCTCAAGGATTGAACTCACAACCTTGGGTTTAGCAGGCCAATACTCAAACCACTGAGCTATCCCCTTCTGTCTCTGACCATCTTGGCTGATAGTCATTGATGGACCTATCCTCCCTGAACTGACCTAATTCTTCAGCTACACTTTTGGTCTTCACAACATCACCTGACAACAAGTTCCACAGGTTGACTATGCATTGTGTGAAGAAGTAGTTCCTTTTGTTTTAAGCCTGCTGCCTATTAATTTCATGGGGTGACCTTAGTTCTTGTGTTCTGTGAAGGGGCAAATAACACTTCTCTATTCACTTTCTCCACACCATTCATGATTTTATAGACCTCTATCATATCCCCCATTAATCATCTCTTTTCTAAATTGAACAGTCCTGGACTTTTTAAACACTAGATGACTTTATTCCAAAAGGTAGACTGAGAAACTTTTATCAGCCCCAGAGTGTACTGAAAGTGCGCAGCTTAGACAACTCCTTATGTAATGTCACTTTTCAATATCCATCTTTCTCATGTAGATTAGTGAATATGCTTTTACTAGCTAGTCAGCACTGAACACCTGCTAGTGTGAGGATGGAGTAAAATGCTCCTTCAGAATAGCCGTATTAAGGTCTCTGGAATCCAAACAAATCCTAGTCTTACCATTTGTCCTCCCAGTTATGACCAACATATTAATCCATGGAGTGGATGTATTCATTTTGGCTATAATCCTTTCCTTTTCTAACTGCCTGCCTTGAGTCTGTTGGTCATTACAAAAGGCATAATTTTGCAACCCTGTATGAGAAGGGTGTCTGATGGGTTCATATATATGCAATGCTTCCCATGGAATCTCCTAGTCCCTAGGGGGGAAAAATGCTGCTGCCTGGGGTACAGCATACCTTTTCTGTGTATTCGGTTTAACTGTGTGCAAGCTTCTCTGCCTAACAGAGGTGTTGAAGATGACTTCATGATGGAGAACTTGACAGTTGCTGCTATTAAGGTGACCTCTCCTTCAGAGTCTATTCTGCAACCGCCTATACTATAAGCCAAGCACATCAGACTGCTGTATCTGGATGGAACCTGCTATCTTTTTCAAAAGGTGAACTGGTAAAACATTAGCTTCAGCCCCAGTACCACGCTTGAACTTTGTAGGAATATTCCTTATATACTCTGTAGAATACCAATGTTCTGCTGAGTGCGCTATAGGGTTTCTATTACCCTACAATACTGTATCTACAAGAGATTGCTCACGTTCTGGTTTAGCCAGAGATTTGTCACTTTGTATTTTGGGTAAATTTGTCACTCTGCACATAGAAGAATAGCGATTTAATTTTCCATTTTGAAACATTTCTCCAAAGGGCTGGACAGACGATGAGTGGGGTATGTCTTATCACAGCATGTGCAAGTTCTTTGTGTGAGCTGCCGGTGCGTCTGCTTTGCTGTGACTCTCTAGTGGTTGGGCCCTGCTCATGTTGCTCTGAATACTCTTTTATGCAAGATTTGTATGAACTACTCAGTGTGTGGCCCAGACATGATCTCTATTTGTATCCTTATAATTTGTGAGACTCTGCAAATGTCTGTTTCTTTTTGCAAGCCCAAATCAGGGTCCTTCAGCAAACTTCCCTCTAGTCCTTTATCAGTAACAATGAACACAGATTTGTGAGCATGCCATCTTCACTATTTCCAAAATTACAATTTCTTTCTTTTTGCTTGTAATGTACTTGTATATCTGTTCTCCTAGGTGTAGGTGAGACCGGAATTGGTATCATTCACATGCCACATATTCTTAGTGTTGCAATAGTTTCTCAGTATTGTGAAGCCATCCAAGCGGGAGCATTTTCCGTGAACTGCTGGGAGAATATATTATAAACGTCCACAGACTCCTCTCCCACTGAATACAGTAAAATCACTACTTTTATGTCTTCTTTGTTTTTATCTGCTCCTGAGGCTTTCATATAGATGCAAAAGTGTTGTTTCCATCTAATCCAGTTCTCAGCAAGATTACTAAGAAAAATAAAGTTGTGGTTGGCTTGCAACATTCCATGTTCAGATTTTTTTAAAATACAATTTTCTAGTTTAACTGCTTTACTTTTCATTTCACTTTTGTGTTTGCACTGTACCTCAATATTCTGTACTTTCTGTTTGCAATCCACAGAGCATCAAGAACCAGTATATTGACTCTGTGTCGTAGTTTGCACCATTTACTGATGTACTGTGCTCCTGACAAAAACAGCCACTTCTTGCTTCGTGCAGAATGTGGTCACTTTTCACACCATGTCATGCTTTCTAGCACAGTCAGGTAGCCTAGTGTATCTTCCTCAAACTGCAGCCTCTGTCCTTCAGGAACCAGAGTGGACTACTTTTCCAAATTTCCAGAAGTTATTGTGTCTGCCAAACAAGTCAGCACATATTATTGCTAAACTGAGAGCTGTATTTGCGAGACATGGAATTGTTGAAGAATTAGTGAGTGAAGATGTTCCATTTGCAATCAGAGACATGGGTAACTTTGTAAGATCTTGGGGAATGAAACTCACTCAGTCTGGTCTTGGATACTCACTGTTTAATGGAATGGCTGAAAGAACCTTTCAGACAATAAAATCAGTGTTTCACAAAACTGCTGCATCAAGTAGAGATCTTATCTTAGTGCTTTTGGAGTTGGGAAACACATCACAGACAGGTATGGAATACTGTCCGGGACAGTTGGTGGGGAGGATGTTGAGAACAACTCTTCTATCCTTACACATGCTGCTACCATCCAAAATACCTTGGAGGGCTCACACCAGATGAAAATTGCTACAGGAACGACAGAAGAAATATAGTGACCAGACAGCTCAGCCACTATCTGTGTTCCATCCTCACTATCCAGTATGCATGGAAAGAACACAAGTTTGACAACCAGCAAGGGTGGTAGCTACATATCCAGAGCCACCATCATATTACATTGAAACACGTACAGGAGAAAGGTACAAACTTAATAGAAAGCACTTACTACCTGACCATTCAGTGCCAATAACAGATACACAACAGATATCTAAACCAGAAGACTCCCAGGAGCAGCAAGTAACACCTTTCCCAGAAAATCAGCAATCAGAATTGACACCAACATATTCTGAGACACAGGTTGCATCAGTACAGTCAAAGTAAATTCACAAGAAGTGGTTATCAGGTGCCCATGCCAGCATGATACCAAAATTTTTCTGACAGCTTTTTACAGAACTGCATGCAGAAGCCTACTGAGCCAGTGATAAAGATTGAGCTTCATCAGGTTAAGTGTTAACAACCTGGCTGTGGACTGAGTGTTATTTATATTCTCACTTATATTTTGGTATTGCCCATAGATGCTGATGTTGTTCAAACATATATGAGGAATCAGTCCATGTCCCAAAGAGCTTGCAATCTAAAAAGACAAAAGACAAAAAAGTGTGGGAGAAGCAGATGCAATATGTAAACAAGGTAGTCAGGATAATGACTGGCATCCATTTTATTAGTACAAAATGTTTTAGTTATAAAGATATTTTAACCTTTGGTCATTTTTTATTGTGTATATTTGTAGAGAGGGAGAGAGAGTTATGACTATTTCATTTATTAAAAATATTTAATTACCCTTGTCCATTCCATTTTCTCCAACTGGTTTCAGGAAGAACTCCTTAGTTAGATAGAGTCTGTTTAGGCATCATTAAGAAACATAGTTTCAGAAAGTTTTGATGCTGTGTTAGGCTAATTTGCTTTAAGCATTTGGTCAAGGTAAATGCTATAAACATTACAAGATGATAGACAATTTATTCTGAACAGTTGAAACGGATATGCAAACTTTTGTTAATCTAATAATTAAATTAAGAAGTACTCTGTCACAAGAGGATATTATGTATATTAAGTTGGTAGGTCCAACTAAATTTGATCTCATCCTATGCTTCAGATATATCTAAGGTACTTCTGCATGACATGTTGCCTATCCTTCAGAAGAGCATGTACTAAATAATCTACCTAGAAAATTAAACCAATAAAAATGCCATGAGTAAAAGTTATAGTGCTCTATTTAAATGCGGAAGATATCTCATGATTCTGTAATTACTGAACTGCTGAGTGAATAGATGTGATATCAGTTCTCAAACTTGTATTTTAGTCCTCCTGTCTCTGGGAAAAGACTTGCAGGTTCCAAAAGGGGTGATGTTTAGTAAAGCGGAACACAAACTTTTCGAATATGCTTCTCTGTTTATTGTTGCTGTTTCATTTATTATATGTTACTACATAATAAAAGCTCCTGACGTATTTTGATATGTTGCACACACTGTGAAATTTCTAACTGACTTGCTCAAATAACATCCAGCTGTGTAATAAATCAGTGGAGTTCACTGTTCTAACATATTTCAAAATTTCAGAGAGAATGGTGGAATGTGAATAAGGACTCTGAAAAACAGATGTGAACAATAATATTTCAAAGCTGCAACCTTGCCATAACTTAAATTTGAGTGTCATACATTCTACTGTTAAAATCATAGATATGTTAAAAGGTTCCGTAAAAAATAAAAACGCATGGAAACCTACAGAGAGTAAGACAAATTCTTGTTCAAATGTGTACATATCTTCATTAGATTGTAGGCGTGTGTGTGTCACATGCACCGGTGCTGGCAAGTTTTCCCTAGCGATATCCTTAGGGGCAGCCCTGCATGTCCCCTGGCTTCCTTGAGCTCCAAACTGAATGTATAAAGAGCAGAGCCATCCCACCTGTCCTTCAAACCGTAAGAATGAACTGTGGTCAGTAGTGAGAGCATTTCAGTAGTGAGAGCATTTATAGCATCTTTCTTCTGTGAACAAGGTCACTTATAGTTAAATAATTTTATCTTGCAGTACTCATTGTTTCATCCTTTTCTTTTTTCTCTTCTCTTTTCTCTTTTCAAGATCCAGTGGGCCTCCAGGCCCTGCCTGGTACTGGGGGGGCCTGTGCCAAGGTCCCTTGGTTTTAAGCCCTGCTTAGGCTGTCATAAGCTGATGACTGTTAGTGACATTCTGTCTTGCTCTTTAAAGTACTTGGGTGAGGCTCACATTAGAGACAGACATCCAGTTGGCTGTTGCTTCAAATCCAGAATAAAGAAGCAGAGAAAAGAGCATCTTAGATATATTTTCATGTATGCTGCTCTTTGCCCATGTCAAAATCCTTCAGTGGTCACAAGGGAGCTCATCAGCCACTTCTTGGAGTGCCACCTGGGTCTTGCCAACAGACAGAGATGTAGGAGATCCCCTTCACTGGGGCTCTCCTCCTTGAGGCATAATAACTCGGACCACTCGCAGCATCTGAAGTGTAAGAAAAAGATGACATTGGCTTCTTCAAAGTCCCTCTTACAGGACTCCCCTTCAGCAGAAGACCAATCTGGAACTGACGGTAGAGCATGCCTTTTAGCTTGCCACTCCATGGTACCGGGTCACAGTGACTCTCACAGGGTTGAACCATTGACCCTGCTACCCATCCCAGGACTATTGAGACTGGCTACCTCGTCAGTGATGGGAGTAGATTCATCATTGCTGATTATGGCAGGGCAGTCATCCATTTTGATGCTTACAACACCAGAGGCCTATTGTACGTTTCACTAATGCCATTGTCACTGATTCAGGGCAAAGGTCCTCTACTGGCATGGTTACATGTGCCATGCTAATCAGCACTGATATTAGGGTCAGTTATGGCCTCAGGGGTCTCAGAGCCAGTACTGCATTCATCGGCCTCCTCGATGATGATGTCTAGGCCATTGATACCGGCTTCACCTCATCACATGGTACCAATCTCCAGGAAGGCTTTGATGCTGCCTCTTGTACGACAGTCTTGATGCGAATTCCAGTCCCGGTCTCTGAGGACTCCTTCTGGTACTGCACCAAATTGGCCTGTGTTGTATTTTTACTTCTTGTCAGTCTGAAGTGGTTTCTTGGGTCTCCTGTTCTTGGTCTCACAGAAGATGCTTTGTCAAAGCACATGCAGAGATTGGGAAGCCTGGTCTAGGCAAAACTGGTCCCCCTCCAATTCTGTATCAGCCTTATGCCTTGGGGAATGACTCTTGCATAGAGATTGACATCTCTGCTTCCTCATAAAAGCAGATGACTAAGAAGAGAGGCTTCCCTGTTAAGTTCTGACCACTAATGGTCGGTACCAAACAGCCTCCAGAAACAGACTTAATCATAGGACTGGAAGGGACCTCGAGAGGTCATCTAGTCCAGTCCCCTGCACAAATGGCAGGACTCAGTGTTAGAGAGACTTGCTGGATCTTCCCCAAACTTCCTTGGACTAACATACATGGCTGCACAACCGCAAGAAAGTTCTGCCTTGCCTCCTCTGAATATATCATTCTTGTCACCTGATGATACTCTCATACTGGAATCTTCCTCCTCAGTACCAGATTACTATAAAGTCTACCTAGAGATCCTGAAAAGGATGGTTACATCTCTTGGTATTCGGATGGACCTGGTGGAGATGAATCCTCATATTGTTATAGACCTTTTGCACCTGGCTATCGCAGGGAAGGTAGCCCTTCCAATAAATGAGGTGATAATGCAATCCATCATGTCACTGTGGCAAAACCCCTCATCTAAGTGCACAGTTAAGTGAACAGAGTGCAAATACCAGGGTCCATCCCAGGCATTTGAGCCATTTTATTCACACTCTACATCAGACTTTTTGGTAGTGGCAAAGATGAATGAAAGTCACCAGCAAGGTTGAGCTAAGACTACTACCAAATAAAAGGAAGTAAAAAAGTTAGACTTTTAGGGGGAGAGATGTATTCAGCTGTGGGACTATATCTCCTCACTGCCAACTCGCCAGCCCTCTTGGCCTGCTATGACTGTTCAAATTGGGAAGCAAAATCTCAGTTAGAAAATTATGGCCTCAAAGCTCTAGGGAACAGTTCCAGTCTGTCTTGTTGGAAGATTGTCTAGTTTCCTGATCAGCGCTTCAGACATAAGCAACATATTTCAAAGAACAATTGTTACAGGAAGGTGAGGAACCATCTCGGAACAACCTGTGAATGGTAAAATTTTCAAAGATGCCTATGTTATTTAGGGTCCTTAATTTCTACTGACTTTATAAATGACTTAGATAGCTTTGGAAAATGGGACATAGGCACTTCTGAAAATTTTACCCAAAATGTCTTAGAGCCTGAACCAAAGCCCAGCAAGTTAATTGAAAAGCTCCCAAAAACTTCAGTGGGCATTGGCTCAGGTCCTCAGATTGTCAATATCTGATCCTACACTCTTTGTGGTTAGAGTAGATAGACATTTACAGTGGGAGATAGTAAATACCATTCTGCTTGCTTTTCTACTTGTATTACTTTTTAAAAAAGTTATGAGTGAATTTAGTGTTTATGAAAGACTAGCAGCCTTAGCCAGATGTAGTTCAGGTAGATGCCGTGCAACTTAATGAGTTGGACATCTGAGGATCCAATCGGCATGTGGATCCACAGTGGTACAGAGGCAGTATAGTCCATCTTGTTCCTGACATAGATGGTGTGGCCAGAATACTACCAGAAAATCCTCAGATGCCAGAAAGGCTGCTGTGGGGAGATTTGGCAGCTAGTGTAGTTCAGGCAGTCCTAAGAGGCTGCTCCAAACCATGTCTGAGGCTGTTCCAGTCTGTGGCCAGAAGTAGGATTGGGAACCCACAAATGGATCCTTTGTGCCTCCCTGCCACCTCATCTGAGCTCAGTGCTTATTAGGCACAGCTGAAAATCTGATGCTTTGAATTTGCACCCCATTAAAAAGCATGCTCCTGCAATGTTTCAGTGTTGTTTGCAGAACAAAAATGGCAATAGTGCTTTGATTTACGAATAAAGGATGTCTTTGCTACTAAGAGGGCTACACAATTTTTTTTTAAAGAAAAAGCTTTTAGATTCTAAACAGTACAGTGAAATGTAAACAAAAACCTCATATTTCACAGGTTTTCTGTGCTCATAGAGATCTATTTTTTTCTGAAAATCACCATCTGCTAGTGACATCTTGCACCATGTATTGTTTTCTGATTATGCTAGTTATAAAATATTAGTTTTAAATTTAGAGAAAAGCTTTATTCCAGGACATAGAAATATTTGTTGCCCTTATTTCAAATTATTTATATATTATATATATGAAATTAAACTGCGTGATGCATATCATCTTCTGAAAACATCATCGCTATGCAATAGGAATTTTACTAGATAATAATTTTGTGTGTGAAATGAAAAAAAAGAAAAAAGAAAAGAAAAGTGAACAGGGGAGCCCCTTTTAAATGCAGAGCCAACCCCCAGAAGAGAAGAAAGGTCCTCTCATTTTATAATATAAAATCAAGAGAAGCCTGTCTTACATATGCCTATTGTCATCCTGGCCATTTTTCATGTATGGAGTATTTCTTTTCCTCACCCTTCATCTGTCTGTCTTTATAGATGACATTTTCTTTCAGGTAGAGATTGTGTCTTCCTGTACGTTTGGAAATTTCTTTGAACATTTGGGGTGCTTTGATGATGTAAATTAGGGTGGTGACTAGATGTCCCGATTTTATAGGGCCAGGCCTGATATTTGGGGCTTTGTCTTATGTAGGCACCCATTGCCCCCCACCCCCGTCCCGATTTTTCACACTTGCTGTCTGGTCACCCTGATGTAAATACTAATAGCAGTTTCTCATACACAAAACACAAACCCACACTTCCCGTGTGAATTGCTTTTATCTTAAACAAACAAAACAAAAAAGAATAAAAGAGAGAGATCGAGAGAGCGTACAGCATGTGTCATAGATTGACAGCTGCTTCTGCAGACAACAGAGACCTAGAAAATTAATGGAGCAGTACATAGAAGCCAAAATCATAAATTACATATACAACTCTTAAGTTTAGGCCTATGTGCTTCCCAGTGCTAGTATAATGTTCTATTTATTACAACAAAGATTAAACAAAACACCCAAACATAGGGATGTAAGGGATATGTATTACATCCCCGTGTCTGGGTGTTTTGTTTAATTTGTATTGAAATAAATAGAAAAATAACATAATAGGGAAGCAGTTGGACCTGAACATAAAGTTGTGTATGTAGCTGTGTAACTATTTAAAAATGAAACTCAAATGATATTTCATCATTTTTTTAGATGTTCAAATTGATTTGCCATTGTCTTGTATTTCATTTTGCTTTATAAAGGCATGCTTGAAGTTTTGTCTGTTTGCTGGATTTGAACCCAGTAACTTCAGCAGCTTGTAGCAGGTGGTGGCAGATTTTTACTTTCTGCCCTTATATGGACAAGGCCACAGGGTGACATTTTAAGTGTTGTTCCGGGTTAGCAGAAGGGGTAAATAAGCCACTGTATCTGAGTGATACATCAGGGCCACTCTTTCTCCAAAAAGATTGTCTGGGCTTGAGAGCTTTTACTTGAGATTGTGGTACCCTCCCCCGCCCTTGTTTGCCTGATAGTGGCAACTGTTTTGCGCTAGCCAAGCAGTTTTGTGACTGGCTGTGCTCTCAGGATGTTATCCCAGTAATGACCTTGAATAAGACAA